GTTCTGCTTCCAAAGCTTGGTGCTTCTGTAGACGCTTCATCTTGTCTTCAATCGTAGTGCACTGTCCTTGTCGTTCTTTTTCGAGGCGAATACTAAAAACAATCGTTAAAAACTAAAATGCAAATTAAAGAATAAAATTCAGAAGAAGTTACCTCTTAAGTTTGTCATCAATCCAAGCTTCAGTATCGGCAACATCACGATCGAATGTGGCCACCATGAATGCATCATTCAAAAGAAGATGGCGCTGTTCCACGTCATTGTGAAGTAAAGAAAGTGCGTCATGCACCTGAACATAAGGGTGTTGAATAGCAGATGAAGAGAAAACAAATAAGAAACAACCTTCTTCTTTGAAATTTCAATGTTGTTCTTTTCCATGTGGTTTTTGGCAATAAGTTCATTAGCAGTTCGATCCAAGGCCTGAAAGCAGAAAATTTCAACAAAGTCCATAATTTTCTGCACAGTAATTGGATACCTTCGTTCTCTCATCCAAAGTCGACAGAGCTTTTGCAAAAGTGTCCAGACGTTTCTGTTGACCCTCAACATCGGCAACGCTGCCACCAACAGCCAGTTGGCTAGAAAAGTATGACTATAAAAATGAATGCACTTATGCAGCAAGCACAATTACAAACAAGTAATGGAAAAAACTTCTCTTTCGTACCGCAAGGTAGCTCTTTTGCTAGCAATAAGGGTCAGAATTTGGTTGGCTTCTTGCTGGAGGGCATGCCATTGGACCAATTGTACTAAATAGCTTTCGCGAAGATCCCATTCAGACTGGAGACGATCGAGAGCTGTAGTAACCTGAAAAGAACAGTTCTCCAATTTGGGTGATGGCTCATATATGTTTACTCAAAATTGAGTTTTTGAGTCTAAGGATTTTAGGGAAAGAGTATATGCCTAATCTATGATTTTAGCAATTTTCGGTTTATAAGACTGAAGTGTTCAATTCAAAAAACAGTAAAAAGGTGGAAGCTTTACCTGATGTACTTTCTTTGCAATATTTGCTGAATCAAAATGTCCACGTTGGATCATTGCCTCTCCCGAACGTGCAACTTTCTCAAATTCAGGAGCTCTAGCGGCGATTTCGCCACGAAGTCTTGAATGTTCTTTCTGAAGTGCCTCAGCTTGTTGCAATCCGTTTACCTGTAATAGCCATCCAGCAATTTACAGAAATTTCCTCCTTCCTCTACTACTTACCTGCATTTCAGTCTGCATATCAGCAATTGTGATATCAGCCCAGGATAGTAAATCGCGTACATCAGCGTTGAAACTATAATGAACATATAACAATGCTATTTATATGTTGGCTAAAAAATAAGCTCGTTTGACATGTGAATAAAAATC